GACTTGCAACTGGCTGCGGCGGGTGGCGGCTGACAACAAACTGCGACATTGGGCAGAGGTAAGCAATGGCGGGTTGCGAGCGGGTGGCGGCGGGCGGCCGACAGGGGGGGGTATAACATTTTACATGAATAATGTAAGTCAAATTATGTGTTTGGAGATACCACCAAAATTTTGGTCCAAGTTAGACTGTGGGCAAGTTATGCAAGCTCAAGAAGTCACTTTAAGGCTTAAAGCAGTCTCATCGGGCTTGATTTGATAAGCTTATAAAAACTATGACAAGCATAGATATCAACAAATCAATGTAAACCATACATTATTTTTTTGACAAAATGGAGGTCACGCTTCCATGCTTGCTGTGTATGTTGCTGACATGATTATTATTGGGGATGATGACGTAGAGATTGTTCAACTAAAAGTAAGATTGTGCAAAGAATTTGAGGTGAAGGACCTTAGACAATTTATATACTTCCTAGGGATTGAGGTGGCTCGTGAACCAAAGAGGAAAGTCTTGTCTTAGAGGAAGTATGTACTAGATCTTCTCACAAAACATGCATACTGGCATGCAAGCCTGCAGTCTCTCTAGATGATTAGAAACCAAGCTCAGTGCTGAGGCGGGAGAGTCATTTGATCGTGCAAGATACCAAAAAGTGGTGGGTCTTCTGATCTATCCGAGTCACGCTCTTTCTGACATCTCAATTGCAGTGAGGGAGGTGAGCCACTACATGCATGATCCAAGGAAAGTCATATGAACACACATCAAGTTCTGAGGTACCTGAAGTGTGCTCCAGGGAAGGGATTGATCTTCAGAGAGAATGGACATGAACGTACTGAGGGTTTTTATGACTATGATTGTGCAAGTTGTGTGGATGACTGGAGGTTCAAGTTAGGATATTACATGTTTGTAGCGGGCAACTTGGTATCATGGAAGAGTAAAAAATATTCAGTTGTAGCAAGGTCAACAACAGAGGCGAAGTACAGGGCCATGAACTTAGGAATTGCCGAGATGATGAGGCTGAGAGCCTCGCTAGTAGAGCTCAAGGTGGACCAAAAAACTCAAATGAAATTGTTGAATAACAAGACAGCAATCTGCATTGCCAACAACTCGGTGAAACAAGGTAGAACCTAACCTATGAAGATTGACAGGTTCATCAAGGAAAAGTTGAATAATAGACTACTGAAGCTAAGCATATAACCACTGGAGAGCAAGTGGCCGACTGCCACATAAAAGGATTTGGATCATTAGATTTGTCTAGGTTATGTGACAAGATGGGCTTAGTGAATATTTTTTGCCCATTTTGAAGGGAAGTATTGAGATTTATATCTAATTTAGTGTTCTATTTATAAATAGAAAATATCAAAGAAGTCTAGGAGTTTATTTGTAAGAACATTATAAAGTTCTATATAAGAACAAGTCATTAATGAATAAAAAAAGTTTTTCAGAGCAAAATTTCTTTTGAAGAAAAAGAGGAGCTCATAAACATTGTGGCAAATCAGCTCGGAATTAATCTAACGCGGGATAACTGTGATTTAGGGTTTTTCTATTTTTTTCTAAACAAGCTAATTTGCGAGCCAAAAGTTTCAGCTAGTCAAACTTGAGCTCATTATTTAGGAGTTGTAATTTTTGCTTGAGCTCAAGTTCATAGCTCAATAAGCCTGATTTGCATGCTCATTAACAAATTGAGTTTGAGTTAGTGCTTGTGTTAGCTCAGCTTATTTACACCCCAAATTATGAGGATAAACAAAAGAATCGTGACATGCATATTGAAATAATGTAGGAAAGGTTTACATAAAAAAATCACCAATTGAATTTTAGAAGAAGAAATATAGTAGTTGAAAGTCTTGCTATTATTACTAGAAAATATCCTTTTGCTTGTTCTATTGTATTTTCAATTATTTTGTTCACATATTTCATAGATGCCCAATTTTAGCTCTTGAATTATTGATTTAGGTGCTATATATCATGTCATATGACCACCTTTTTACACAATTTTTTTATATACTTCTTATCTTAGCTGTAACAAATAACCATGGTTGATGGCCATAGCTTGCCATGGAGACATTTTTAAATAAATCCCTTAGATTGTGAAGCATATTTTATGTACCTAAATTATTCACTATTTAGTTCTATATCCAAGAGTTAATTTCACATGCAAAATGTACTATTATATTTTACTCCCCATATTGTATAACAGGGTACATGGACGATGATTGTAATTGCTAAGAAAACGGGCTGCCACTACCATCTTGAGAAGTCCCAGGATAATAACAAGTTTTGCTGTTACCAATACTCACTTCAAAATTGAGAAAACATTTATATATAAAAACAGTTAATATGTTGTTAAAGGCTACCCTTTTACTAAAATGCTAATTTACCCCCGATACCAAAAAAGTGTTTGCCAATGTGACTTTAATGAAAATAATTTTACTTTGTTGCTACTTCCAAAAGGAATAAATATAATTTACTAATGAAAATTTTCTCATAAATTTCTTTTTATCTCTCACCCAAACAAACAATAGAATCAGCCATTTTTGTATAGATTAAGCTTATATGAGAATCACCTTCTATTTAGCCATTTTAGGTTTTTTTAAGGAAGAGTGCATCTCAATAGACATAAGTTAAATCAACCAAATCAATCATTGGCACTGAACTAGCTCTGGGAAACATTGAATCTGCAAACAAAATTATTTTATCAATCCTTTCTCTAACCTCTATATTATTTCTATCCCTAAAATTAACTTTAAGATTTTAAATATTGAGGGGTAGAATAATTCTATATTGCTATTAGAGAAGAAATGGAAGCCCTTAAAAAAGTAAAATCTAGAAATTGTTGACACTATAAAAAGAAACTGTTAGGGTTTAGATGAGTTTTTATTATAAACTATAAATGTGACGGCTCATTTGAAAGGTTTAAAGCCCTATTAGTGGTAAAAAGTTACTCTCAAATATATAAGATTGATTTTCTTGAAATTTTCTCTAAAGTTGATAAAGTAGTACTCTTTGAGCTCTTTTATCTTTAGTAGTGAATAATGATTGAAAATATAATAATTTAATGTGAAGAATGTCTCATACGGTGATCTGAAGGAGATATATACATATATATATGTAGATTTCATTGGTATTTGGGTCATGCACGACAAAATGTATTTAAATTAGAAGACATACAGATTGAAGCAATCATCAATGACATGATTTGGTAGGTTCTTGATGTGATGTTTAATATGTGATAAAAATAAAGATGTCCATACATTAATTTGAGAAACATGTGACTTCAAGGGAGTTTCTGCGTTAATAATTTACGTTGAGTCATATTTTGGACTCAGAAGTCCTGCAAAGAAATTAAGCAAAAATATTGGAGGCACTTTAATTTAATAGATGAGGAAAATGGAGAGCCTTAGTTGAGGGGTTGGAGAAAGATGTGTTGGGGTGGACACCGAATGACTTTGATAGCTGATGGCAGTTTCCCCAAGTTGCAAATGGCCGGATGAAAGTGTTAAAGCAGAAAATGTCAGCTGTAGTGGACTGGAAGGAGAAAACGCCAGTGTGCTGTGGATGCCTAGGTGGAAGCTTCAACTGCTTGAATGCCAATCCTTGGAAACTCTTACGGCCAGTGAATACAAGTAGATGTTGGCCGAACAGAGCACTATTGTACTGTAGTATCGAGGAGGACAGAGCCATGCAATACTGTCCTGCAAAGCCAGCGAGGTGCCAATTACTTGCAGAACCTGAATGTTAAACCCACCAGCTGTCTGATGCCTATGAGGATTCACTTTTTTAATTGATTTATAGCAGTACTTGGGCTTGCAGCCAAGGGTGCGTCATCAACTTTTTTCATCATTTAACTGGTCTAAAGATGCATGCTTTTTTACTTCTTTAGTATTTTGTTAAACTTCTGATTTCTGAAGTCACTACTGAATTAGCCTGTGGCTTGATTCATTCTTGAAAGTCTGTCTTTAGAGTTCGTATAAATTTTATGGTAAACTGTTTGGATCTTAGGTTAACAGATTCTTCATGAAACGTGATCTTGCTTCACCTTGTATAGGAAGCTCTTTTACCACTTTTTGACCACGGGCTTAACCTGTGGCTTGATTCATTCTTTATAGTTAAACTAGAGTGTTTAGACTTTATATAAATTATATGATAAATGGTTTATACTTAGGTTATCTGAATATTCATGAAATTGTCTTGTTTTAACTTGTATAATAGGTTCTTTTCCCACCTTTTGGCAACCTTTCAATTGAAACCAGTTTTAGTTTTCTGAGAATTTTGTCTACTGCTTCTAAATCATTGCCCTCTATTCATACCGTTGTCGTATTCTACTGATTATACATCATTCTGCAGTATTGTCAAATCATTGAAACCCATCCTTTTATCCTGGCTATGAGGTACAGTGAATAGTTGAGTAGAATCATTGATTGGCTGTGGTTCATGCGGCTTAAGTTATGAGTTGAAAAATGGTTCTTTTTTTTTTTTTTTTTTGGAAGATTTGCATAGATACCGCTCAATTCTTATGAATTTACATATCTAACACCTAAACTTCACTTTTTACAAATACGCCACTGTACCTATTCCAAGAACAACTGTATTTCACTTTTTAAATGTTAAAATGGCTTTATTTTTTATGTGATATGAAAATTTTGGGTGGTGTAATTGTAAGTAAAGTTTAGGTGTTAGATATGTATATACATAGGAATTGCATGGTATACATTGTGAATGCTCTTCCTTTTTTTTAACCGGAAAAAAAGCTTTCTATAGGGGACTCTAAATCTGATGGGCAATGAGATTATGTTATACAGAAAGACTTCCATGGATTACTATTAAACCTGCCTGAAATTTGATTTGTATTCATTCATTGGTTTGCTCTGTTTCTGTTTATTTGTCTATCATCTCAAAATTTAATGACATGGACAAAATTATGCGACTTTTTACACCTTATACGCGCCTATTATGTGATTGTTTCATGTTGTATTCTTACTGAATAAACTGCTCTGTTCTGTTTCAGTGATGCAGCTTTAGCTGCCTTCCTGGAAGCATCGGGTGCCACGTTGGTTGAGCTTGTACTCAACAATATTGAAAAGGTATTAGATCGTTATATGACGTCTGTGAATCTTTTATTTTTTGTCAAAATAATACTGAATTGATCATTCAGGAAAATTTCCATTGACAAGCTTTCTTATAAGGAACTCTCTTAACTATAATTGAACCATAATTGCCATACCAATTCAAATTTCCATTGTTGGCTGTTACAGAACATTATGATTTATGCTATTGAATGCATGGGAAGTTTAATAGTGCCTTTAATTCATACATTGGTAAATATATGCCTGGATAATCTTAAAAATAAACTTGATCCTTGCCTTGATTATGTGCTCCAACTGAACTTTTGCCTTCAATGTAAGCAACCCTTTTATTTTGATTGTCTATTGTTATTTTTATCTCTTATCTATTATTAGAACCTTCTTAAGTCTTGCTAATAGAGTTTTATTTTTTTGTCTTACATTTCCTTCTTTTTGATGAGAAGGCCTCAAGCAATAATTTGAGCACATTTTATTTGTTTATTTTTGTTAGTTGGACTGCTTTATTTATTAAGAAAATTCTAAGGATGATGGTTCAGAAAGAGAGTGTTTTATTTCTAAGCTCTATGCTTAATGATTCGACATAGTTTTAATCTTGATTCAATTTGACGATAGATTTTTGGAGTTATAATTGCGGGGACTTGAGAAACATGTTGATTAGGTAAAGATATCAAGCTGTCATGGCCATCTAAAATATTGGGTCTTTTTTTCTGAACTATTTTTGAATATTTTTTAGAATAAATAATGTATAAAATACTAATTTTTTTGTGGGTTTCATTATAAGCAAATCAATGTGCTGGGTTCAACATAATTGAAGTTGCCTATTCCCACAAAATGGTTGGAAGCCTACTTTTTGCTTGCATTCCCTGTTTATTCAAACAAGATCGATTGTGCTACGTGCCTCCAAGCATGAATGAGCATAGTAATCACTTGAGGAATGCTGTGATAACACTTGATTATTTTTTAACTCTTAGGAAATTGTGCTTTTATGTTTCTAATTGAAAATTGATTGCGATTTGACAATTATTACACGTGCAGGCTGCAGGAAATACTGCTTTAGCTATTTCTCGCAGATGTTCTCTATCACTGAGAAGCCTGGACCTTTCCTTCTGCCGCAGGATGACTGATGAGGCTCTTGGATTGATTGTTGATAGTTGCCTGAACTTGGAAGTTCTAAAACTATTTGGATGCCCCCAGGTATGTTTTTGGTCTGTATAATTTTGTCAGGAGTAGCAGTGAGCTAGTTGAGCCGAGCTCAAGTTGCCCCTTGCTTGAGCTTTTGATTAATCAATCAAGTTCACGTTCCGGCCCCTAGACTCTATTAGTTTGAGTCGGCTCACAAACTAGATCATTTATGATGAAAAAGAGAGAAGGATTATAATTCAAGGCATTGTTTGATATAAGAAAAATAATAAGAAATTATTTGATATAAGAGAATGAAATATAATTTTTAACAACTTTATACTAAAACTATTAAGTTAATATTATTCAAATGAGATGGTTCGTATACTAATGATTTGATTCAGGGATGGCTCAAGTTCAGTTCATTAGCTCATGAAGTTCGAGCCATAACTGTTTTTCGAAGTTTCTCGGTGATCCGACGTGGGGCTTTTTCGTTGCAGGTTACCGATGTTTTCTTGGAAGGGCACTCGAATTCTCTTGTGAAGATAATTGGTTTGAAAGGTTCGATCTTAAAGGAAATAGAGATGCCTAATTTCAGTTAAAATTCTTTTGAAACATAATTTAGCGGTTTACATGGAGTATTATCTGGTTAATTTCGTTTGGACGTTTGATACTATCATTTGTCTCCCCAGTAGAATTTTTGTGGCAATGTTTCTTTTTTTCGAGAACTTTGTTTAAAATATATATATATATATATGGAAATGTTATTTACCCTTTAGAAGTTACATGTACGGTGCAATATTTATTTTGGGAAAGATTTACAGGTCTATCAATCAATTCCTATGTATTTTCATGTCTTAACACCAAAATTTTAATTTTAACACATGCATATATATATATATATA